CCTAGCGGTATGGTTTTTTGTGTTGCCTCAGTTGTTCCGTGAGGAGAGAGAAGGTCTTTCTCTTTTTCAATGTGGCTGCTGAAATATCTGTGTAGATTGCTGTTCCTTGGTATGGAGACGGCAGGTTCGGACGCTGTCTGCTGGCTTTCATAATCACCTCTTTGACGTGAAAATAGTGCAGTCTCATCAGCACCTCTCTCGGTGCGTCCATCATTAGGAACCTTGGTTTTGGGACTCTGTGGTAGTGGTCCATCAGGAACAGGTTCTGGGGTAAATCAGGTGCAAGGAGGTGTGCAGGTGTGCATGGAGGTCCGCTGTTCCCACCGTCTCCATTATACCTCGGATCCGGAGGTTGTTGCAGTGTGACCTATCTTCTATATGCGCGATTTTGTTTTCAAAGGCTAGCATATTGTCGTGCATTTCTTCCATGTTCGTGCACAAGTTGATGTATGCCTCCATCTGATCTGCCATTTTGTCCTCTAGCGTTCTTGTGCCCAGGTCTTGGATGTCTGCCTTGATTTCATTCAGGGCTGTTTGCAATGTGTGTTGCAGTCTATCATGCATAGTATCTAGCATTCGTTGCAGGACCCCCTGGGTCACTGGCAGTTCATTTGGCGGGCTTTCGTGCGTGTCGCCGGATTCTTCCTCGGCGCCATCTTGCGCTTCTTCTTGCATGGTTACCTGCTTATTTTGAGTATTCCGGACTTTAAAGAAACTGTTTTTGTCGCCCTTGCCTGTCTGGCGCCTGCCTTTCTGCTGGGACATCGTGAGGGTGAGTTATTTCAGTTTTGGGTGTCCGTAATGCTTAGTCTCTAACATGCGGCTGCTTCGTTAGAGCTCCAGGCCACGCCCCCGACCTTTTACTTTTTAAGAGTCCATTGGAATTGTTTTATATTATTTATTTTGTGGTATTATTACATATATTAGAATTATGTTTTTTATAATTTCTTTTATAAATCATACTGTATATATTTTATATATTCAGCGTGTTAGTAGCTGATATATTCCTCTTTCTTCGTATTTTTATTAGTATCTAGCAAAATACTCTGCATAAAAGATCTTTAGGGGCTCCGCTCATGGGCAGGACTCTCTTTACCTTTTATATTGGTCTGTTTGTATTGTACTGTCTTTTTCCAAATTGTACAGCACTGCAGATTATGCTGGCACTTTACAAATGTCAGTAATAATAATGTAATGCTGATATACGCTAGTAGAAATAAATTGTGTGCCCTTTCTGTTTCTTTCAGGGTTTCCTGTAGGAGAGATTTAGAGTACACTGTTTCCTGGTCCTTGGGACATTTAAGTAAACATCTGGTCATTTGAGGCTGAACAGAGGGGTCAATACCTTCCTGGAAGAAGACAACAGGCCGAATGGTTGATACCTGCCTGGCATATGTGGTACTTCCCAGGGACCCTGGAAATGTAATAAATTATATAGTGTGACAGGTCTGGATACTATGCTGGTAACCTTACAATGCTGTACCTGATACAGTAATTGTCTGGAAGGGTGCGCACATGTTTTGTCGTGGGTACAAGAGTGACAACTACTGCCTCTAAGTCCTCTGTGAGAGAGCTCATTTGATGCTCTTGGTTGTAAAAACCCCACCTTCACTGTGGGTTGGTGTGAGTGAGCCTGAAGTAACAAAAACAGCAATGAAACTGGCCTGTCATAAACACAAAACCTGTAAATAACAATACCTCTTCCCAGCTAAATTAATGATAAGATGTTTTGTAACTGAGTCATCAAGTTGTGAAGATCATAATTCACTGTTATATTACCATTTTTCCTGTTACAATGGCTATTAATATTCTCCAACAAATGCCCTGATTGAAGTGATTATGCTGACAAAGAAATCCTGTCACGAACAGGCTTTTTTTGTTAATAAAATAGCTATACAAAGATTGTCAAAACATAAAAGCATCAATAATTTTGTGTACTGATAATGTGCATATGTCACTAGTGGTTTGCTTTCGCAGTATGTTTTGAATCATTCTGAAACTGTAATATGAAAACTGTTCAATTAACTGCACTGAATTTGGCTGAATCTGAAAAGACAATATATCCCTATACACTTCAGAATTCATCCGGCTGCTTCTGTCTTCTGTCACATCGTCAATAAACACTAGTGACCAAGTGGCATTGAAAGCCATGCATGCCCATACCAACACACTGCCTCCACCATGTTTTACAGATGATGTGGAATCATGAGCCATTCTTAGCCTTCTCCAGCGGACCCGAGGTAGGTTGCCAAATCTTTGTCTTTGATTTTGTCCATGTTGTAGATATGATAAAAGAACAAATATTTTTACACTTTTTTTTAAACTGACAAATGTAAATATAAAAACACTTTACTAAGATAATTCTAAAATGTTTTTCTCTCACAGCTTCACTGATAGGAGCAGCTGTTGCTTTGCACAGAGCAACAAATTACTCCTCCTTTAATCAAGACAATGTTATTTATTGTGTTATTTGGTAATAGACATATTTATACAGTGCTTGTATGGCCTAGAATGCAAAGATTATTCCATTACGAAATCATATGCCAAGCAGCCATTGAAGTGCTGTGAAAACCCTAAGACCCAAAGCTTTTATTAAAGGTTTTATCAGCTTTTCTGATTTTATAGCTATATTAACCCCAAGTAAACTATGAAAAATCAATCATTTGATCAAAACAGCCTTCACTGCACATCAGAGAACATAGAACATTTGCTCTTATATGCTTGACATGGTGCTCATAATGAATATTTCAAGCCTGTAAATTTACATAAGACAATTTTAGCGTGAATATTCATACCCTATTTATCTTTCCTTCATTACAGAAACACTATGTATTGACTTAACCACAGACATTACAGCAGAAGTGATCCAGCCTGTTCATGTTTTACAAAGCATTGGAGTCAAGTGAGATCATACAGATGTCAGAACACCAGCTGGAGAAGTCAATGCAACTATAGCCGACATCAAACAATAGAGAATTCTATGAATTATAGAACTTTACTTGGGGAAAGGGTAAGTTTAAATTGTTTTTGGACATCAGCAGCAGTGTAACATGACAGCACATGCTGTTCATATCCAAGCTTAGAATGTGTGTGCAGTATTCTGTTAACTTCAGGGCTGTAAACTGCAATTGTCTGCTTAGTGTAGATCAGACAGATGAACTCTCTATAAAATGTTTTGATATTACAGGAATTTGTTTGTTTCCACTTTGTGCGTTTGCATTATTAAAGTGTTTCACACCACCCATGACATAATGTCTACTCAGAAGGTCAATAACCAAAGTCTACTTTCCGGTTTGGTGTCAAAAAGGATCCCAGATTTTTGGAGAGTGACTGAAAGTGTTTGAGTACTCTGTGTTACATGAACGCTATCCCTGCCAATCCCCCTCCTAGTGCTACTCTTAATGTATGCTTACAAGGCCACCAGCATTGGTAAACAGGATATTTCATCAACTAGCTTTAGATATGAAGTTATCCAACAGCTTCATCAAGTCTAAACTTGGTAAGGACTATTTAAATATAATGCGTGTTGCTATTGCCAATCTCTAGATGACCGTTTACACCCAAACTAAACCAGCTGAAATCAGGACAATTCAACATGAAGGTCTAGCACCTTACTATGGAATGGTAAGAGCATAGTTTCTCAAAATCTGTTCTAGAAATCATTTGACCACTTATGGCTCTGTATTGCTTGATCAATCTATGAGTTTCCTATAACAGTTTCAAACTTATCTGGTACAAAACATATTTATTTACTGGGGATGATTGGAATTCAGAGTAAATTCAAAGCAAATTTAAATTGTAAGGCTAAAATAGCCAAACTAAAAACAGAATTGACGTGAGGATTGTTTCTTATTCAGCTGCTTTGGCCTAAATTTTCGATTTCACTTTGAATTTACTTTATATTCTAAACAATTCTCACTTCATATTGTTGCAGATTTATGTTGGCCATAGAGTACTTTTTTGCATTCTGACCCCTTTAGTCAACAGGTGTGTGCTGTTTCAGGGAGCTAGGAGCATTGTCTCCTCTGGATCCATGTTTGTTCATGTATTAGTATGACTTATACAGTTACTGTAAAATAAGTAATAATATTTTTTAATAGTCCTCATTGTGCAATATAAGTGAACATTGCAACTTTTGAACAAAAATATGTATTCTGGCATACTATCATGGGACATGCTCTAACTTATAGGAAATGGCGAATCCCACAAATAGAGTACTAAATAGATGTATTATCGGACCTTAGAGTGGCCAGACTTAACGTTCATAAAGATTAAGTCGGAAATAGCAGAGGTCAGTATTATTTCCGGGCCTTAGAGTGGCCAGACTTAATGTTAATAAAGATAAATACAAAGTCAGGAATGGCAGAGGTCAGGCTTATAGAAAGACGGGATATGAGTAAACAAGCCAGGTCATGAAATACACAAAGTCTAATACAAGCCAAGGTAAATATCGGATTATCAATAGAGACTTACTATGAGCACTAAACATGTATCAAGGCAGAAACCACGATAGGGCACTGAATAAGAGCCCAGATTAGCAGTATATAGGCTAACACATGTTCTGATTGGTACACTTTATCTCTGCAAATCCAAATTAATCGAATATGGGGCCGCCTAGATGATGTAGTCACTTTAAGGGCAGGGTGTGACATCCAGGGCCGGCCTTAGGAGTGTGCGAGCTGTACGGCCACCATGGGGGCAGGGGGCGCCATGTGGCCGTACACACATGGTGGGCCAGGATTATAAAAAAAAATCCTTCCACCCCCAATATTACGGCGGGGGCGGATCTCACTGAGCTTCCAGTGCAGCAGGGCGGAGCTAAATTTACAGCAGGGGCAGAGGTAAATGTGCTGGGTAACTGCTGCAGGGGAAGCAAGAAGGTGTCCCTGCTTCCCCAGCAACCAGTCTCCAGGAGCTGCACTGCCTCCACTCCTCCATAAAGAACAGAGGTAACTATGTGTGATTGTCTGCCTGTGAGAGTGTGTGTGTGTCTGTGTGTAAGACTGTCTGTGTGTGTGCGATTGTGTGTGTGGCTGTCTGCCTGTGTGTATGTGTGTGGCTGCCTGCCTGTGTGTGTGTGTGTGGCTGCCTGCCTGCCTGCCTGCCTGTGTGTGTGTGTGGCTGCCTGCCTGTGTGTGTGTGTGTGTGGCTGTCTGTCTGTACCTGTCTGTGTGTGTGTGTGGGGGGGGCTGTCTGTCTGTACCTGTAGGTGTGACTGTCTGTCTGTACCTGTGTGTGTGTGTGTGTGACTGCCTGTACCTGTGTGTTTCTGTCTGATCTTGTGTATGTGACTATCTGCCTGTGACTGTGTGAATGGGGTGGATTTGACATTGTATATGTATAAC